AGGGTATTTTCTCTTAGTCGAAGGTCATAAGTCCTCTTCAGTTGAAAACCCTGAAAGTGAGCCCTGGTCGAAGGCTCAAATACAACTTAGATCTTTTTCCTAACTTATTTCATACGTCGAAACATTCTTGGCTTGGTTTATTCCAGTTTTTTGGTCTAAAAGACCAAATATAGTAAGTGTCAAATTTGGGAGCCAACAGTGATTCGCAAGGTTTATAGATGACTTGTTATCAACAAATAGCTTCATCTTCGATTCGATTATTTTGAGTTCTTCAAGTAGATTTCGACCCATGCTGCTTGACATGCAACATATGATGCAGCCACATATTCTTCTTCGCATGATGACAAAGCTACAATGCTTTGCTTCCTCGAACTCCAGGAGATTGGAGCTCCTTCGATCATGAAAATGTATCCTGCAATACTCTTCTTTTCGTCTTGATCTCCACTGAAGTCTGAGTCAGTGTATCCATGAACTTCGACATTTGAATTGTTCTTTGATTTCTTTGGTAACAGCACACCATGATCAATAGTTCCCTTTATGTATCTCAACACACTCTTCATTGCGATGAGATGACATTCTTGAGGCTTCTCCATAAATCTGCTCAACAATCCTACACTTTGGCAGATATCTGGTCTAGTATTGCAAAGATACCTCAAGGATCCAATGATTTATTTGTAAATGGTCGAACTTACAAACTCATCATTCGATTCCTTTTTCAACTTTGCTCCAGTCTCTAATGGAGTAACAGCTGTCTTACAGTTGGTCATATTGAACCTCTTTAGTATATCTTGAGCATACTTCGTAGAAAAATCTTTCTTTGATGTCTTTGAATTCCATTCCCAGGAAATAGGAGAGATTTCCTAAGTCAGACATTTCGAATTCTTGCATTAACTTCGACTTTACCTTCATTATCTCAGCTTCGTCTGCTCCTGTAATGAGTAAGTCATCAATATAGAGACATAAAATGATTCGATTGACACTTTCGACATCATTTACATATACCCCGTGTTCATAGACACACTTTGTGAAACCTGCTTCGATTAGGAAGCTATCTATCCTTTTATTCCAAGCTCTAGGAGCTTGCTTCAAGCCATAGAGAGCCTTCCTTAATCTGTAAAGTTTTGACTCCTGCCCTTTGACGTCGAAACCTGGTGGTTGAGTAACGTAGACTTCTTCTTTCAATGGACCATTCAAAAATGCTGACTTTACATCAAGTTGGCGCATTTTCCATCCTCTACATGCAGATATCGAAACAACAATTCTGATTGTTTCGATCCTTGCAACAGGCGCATATACTTCATCGAAGTCAATACCAGGTTTTTGTAGAAAACCTATGGCCACCAGTCTTGCCTTATACTTTGATATCTCACCATTTGACCTTCGTTTCACCTTGTAGATCCATTTCACATCAATTGGTTTCTTGTTGGTTCTTTCGACAAGCTCCCAAGTCTTGTTCTTCTCAATGGCTCTAAGTTCTTCTTTCATGGATTCACACCAATTCGAATTGCTCAAGGCTTCGCCCAAATCAATTGATTCTGCTTCAACCATCATCATGGCTTCTTCGATTAAGTCACCATCGGCATCGATTGCTTGATCTCTAAACCTCTCATATCCAATCATCCTAGTTGACTCGGTTCTTGTTCTTGTATATCTTCTTTCATTTTGCACATGTGGTTCTTCATTTTGACTTGTCGAAGTTTCATTTTGTTCATCTTCTTCGAACACAGTTGTGACTGTGTATGTTCTTGTCGAACTGAAATTCGACTCCAATCCCACCCTTTGCTTTCGTCTACCAGAACATCTCTACTGATCACTAATTTATCTTTGATTGGTGAATACAACTTGTATGCACCAGTCAAATGACAACCTATGAGCACCATGACTTCACTTCGATCATCCAGCTTCTTTCTCAATTGTTCAGGTACATTCCTGAAACACATTGATCCAAAAAATCTAAGATGACTTACATTTGGCTTCGACCCTGTCCAAGCCTCATGCGGTGTCTTTTCGACTATCTTCTTTGCTGGGCATCTATTTAGAATGTATACTGTTGTCGAAGCTGCTTCAACCCAAAATCTGTTAGGCATGTTCTTAGCTTTCAACATACATCTCGTCATGTTTGGTTCACTTCTATTCTTTCTCCCAGATATGCCATTATGTTGAGGCGTATAGGGTGTAATAAACTCATGCTCTACACCTTCCTCATTGTAAAATCTAACAAATTCAGCAGAAGTATATTCGCCACCACCATCAGTTCTTAACTTCTTCAATTTGCAGCCACTTTATTTGTCAGCATGCAACTTGAACTTCTTGAACTGTGTGAATACCTCACTCTTATTTTCAATAAGGTAGATCCACATATGTCTGGTGAATTCATCAATGGAAGTAAGGAAATACGTGTTACCTCCATTGAACTTTACTTCAAAGGGTCCACACACATCTGAATGAACCAACTTTAGTTTTTTCCTTGATCTTATAGGCAAGTCACGTTTGAACGCCTTCCTTGCCTGTTTAGCTTTGCAGCATTCCTCACATATCTGCTTTGGTTCCTTCACATACGGCAACCCAAGCACCATTCTTTTCTGATTGAGCATACATAAACTCTTGAAGTTTAGATGTCCATACCTGTGATGTCATAGCCAGTCTTGTCTTCTTCTGTAGTTGAAGCAAAACATTTGTGATCTAATGTGTTGAGTTCAACCTTGAATGTTTTGTTCTCCGTCAATGGTGCTTTTATGATTAGCCTCTCATCAGCCCTATATACCTTCATCTGATTATTCTCCAACTTCATATTGAAGCCTTTTGCAAGTAATTGACATACACTTATCAAGCTGCTTGTCATCGAAGGTACATATAGAACTCAGTGATAGTATCCTTTCAACCATCCTTTCTGATAATCGAAATATCTCCTTTACCACCTAATTTGATATGTCTGCCATCTGCAAACTTTATCACCTTTTCGACTGACTCATCTAACTTGGTAAACCAGTTTTTATTGCCAGTCATATGATTGTTACATCCTGAATCCAGATATCACTTGTTGTTTTTCTCAGTGGTCGACTGAGTGTTCACCAACAACAACACATCATCAGAATCATTACTTCTAGCTCGTGCATATTGAGCTTCATCACTATCTTTCGACTTTGCAACTTTCTTTCTTCGACAGTCTCTAGCGTAGTAGCCAAAACCTTGACAGTTGTAATATTGCACCTCTTTCGTGTCAACTTTCTTCCCATAATACTTGTTGCACACCCCTTTCGAATCAATATTCTTGCTTGACTTCTCATCACCAGCAAGATTCTTTCACTGCTTCAACTTCTTTTTTCCAGCTTTCTTGCTTAATCTTGATTGCAATGCTTGTTCAGCCGCCTTCTCTCTTTCTGAGTTTCTCTGCTGCAACCTCATTTTGTGAGCCTCCAATGAAGCTTGAAGTTCTTCTAACTTCATCTCAGATAGATTCTTGCCCTCTTCAATTGTTACAACAAAGTAATCAAAATCTGCAATTAGAGATCTCAATACCTTTTCTATCTTTTGCAGATACGTAAGCGCTTCACCACACGCCTTCATCTGGTTTGTTAGCGTCACCACTCTTGAGAAATATGCAGAGATAGAGTCATCCTCTTTCATCTAAAGCATCTTGTACTGCTTTCTCAGAGTCTGCAACTTTACCTTCTTCAATTTCTCATCTCCACCATACAAAGATTTCAGCTTTTCCCAAGCTCCTTTTGTTGTTTCTTCTTCAATTATCTTCTCAAATATGTCACAATCCACACACTGATGAATCAAGAACAACGCCTTGCCATCTTTCTTCCTCTGATCTTTGTGCGCAGCTTTCTGGGCTTCCGTAGCATCTAGTTTCAGTTCTGATATTCAATCATTCAAGATTTCTACGACATCTTGAAATATGAAAATAACCTTCATTTATGCAACCCACCGTTGATAGTTTTCACCTTTGAAAACCGGTAGATTCGCTGAAAACTGTGTTAATGTTGTTGATCCGTTTGCTATTAAATTCTCTCTGAATCGCAAACAAGCTCTTGATACCAATTTGTTAAAACAAATAATTCAAGAAAAATGATTTTTGTGAAAACAATAATGAAGAAGAAGAAGAAGAAAAAAGAGAGATTGTGAGTTAGTTAAGTGTAACTAACTTTCTAACTGAATGAATTATTATTGTTGCTCTATAATTACAAACATGACCCTTTATATAGCCAAAATGTTCAGACTCAAATACACATGATAAAAACCCAAATAACTGCATAACAAAAATTAAATTATAACTTACAAAAATTTTTTTTGACTTTTTTCTAAAACATGAGTTGGATTAGTATAGTTCTTGCACAAAGAGCATTTCTCACTTAGAAACATGCTATTTATTACGAAACGAAAACACGCGATGATCAAAATTATAACTTACAAAAGAAATTGACTTTTTTTCTAAAATGTGAGTTGGAGTAGTATAGTTCTTGCTCTTCGTCCATTTTGATTTGGTAACAAAGATCATTTCCCATTTATTTATAGGTTTAAATAGTTAAATTGTTCATAAAAATTAATTGATTTTTTAGTTTTACCTTTTTTTCTTAAAAGAATTTTTAAATGTTAAAATTATTTTGGATTTATCCATAAAGTGAACATTTGCAGAAAAATCTTTTTTTAACTGTGGATTTTAATTTTATAAACGAATACTAAAATAATTTTAACATTCAAAAATTAATTTTAAAAAATAAAATTACATGGACTAAAAATAAAAAATTGTGACGAGATTTGAATATGAGACATTTTATTTATTTATCTGTGAAATTCTGACCATTAAACTAATAAACCAAAAAAAAATCAAAGAATATGAACTTTCAAGCAAAATTCACAACATCCAAATTAATAGGATAGACATAATCCTACAAAAATTGATAAAATTAAGTGACTGAAATGTTCATGCATTCATATATGTAACATTGACGTCCAAATTATGGATTGAACTTATAATTGAATGAAGTAAATCTATGAGTGGAGTACACCACAACAAGATAAAAATAAAACAATGTTGTCTTCAAGGCACAAATAAACAACCCCACCCTGGGACGAGAAAGAGTGATCCCAAACCAAAAAATAGCCTTAAACCACACATCTCCGATGAAAGTAAAAGAAACCAGGGTTACAAAGTGGCGTCACTCAATAGTATTCTGATCATATAGATCATTGTCCCTTCAAAACCCTCATTCTAAGCAGATCCAATATTCTAAATAACAAATACTGTTGCTTTTATATGTTCTTCCTTTCCCCTGAAATCCATGGGATTCGACCAGCAAGGTTGTCATCTATGACTCCACCTCTAAGTTATCTGAATCTGAGGTTTCTTCCTTAACTGGTGCTGAGGGCCCGTCATTTTCACTGCACTTAACTGATTCTATAACTTTGAGATAGTAAACCCAGGATAGATTTGCTTCTCTTATGGGCCGCTGGCCAAATTCATTTGCAGACACAAACTCTTGAACATTGTCTGCCTTCGACAGCTCTTCTAGATAACCCCGAAGATCACCTTTAGGTCCTGTTAATAATTATAAAAAGGAATAGGTGGGTAAACCAATAAACACTCCTAGATGCAGAGTCAATTAATAGACATTACTATTTTTAGCCAATAATATGCAAAGAAGTAAAGGGTCTGAAGAAAGAAAGATGAGAAGAAGACTGCACCTAATGCCGCGTCTCTAGTGTAGTGGTACCGGTAAGTATAAGGGAATATAGCCGTATGCTTCTGAAAATAATTCCAATAGGTGGAGTGATCACATAGTTGGAAAAACAATGACACGAGAAACCGAAGCTTAACGCCAAACAAATAAAAGGAAAACAATTGAACTTACAGGATTCACAAGTGCCTTGTAAGGGGAGTCATCGAGTAGTAATGTGTTTGACTCATTGAACTCTCCTTTCTCCCATGGCAGACCAGGTTCCAGCTTCTCCCATAACTTTCTGAGTTCCTTCAACACAAGGGGCTTATCTCTGTTCTCAACAGTACTGAATTTTGTTGTAGTACAGTGGGATTGATTCTACAGAAAACATAATAGAATAGTGTATAGAAAAATTCCAAGTAAGAAAGAATTTCTAGCAGTAATCATTTTCAACTGCATCTTTAACTTAGTAATTTGTAATATGACACTATTTTACTATAATACCATTATAATTACCAATATCAAATCCAAATCTATTTTGTTCAAAGTGAAATCCATATATAAAATTTATTGCTTCTTTTTAGTAACAGTAGTAGTTAGTAAATGTCTCTGCAGCAGAAACATACACAACTACAATAAACAAGCTTTAATCACTTAGGTGCAATCCGCTACATAGACCGAACGATGCCACAATGTTCTATCATGAGTCATATTTCTAGTTCTAGCCAAGACTTTGACCTCTAATTTTTTCCTAGTGGTTTCTCCTATAGATTTTTAGGCCTTCCTCCATCTCTAGCAATTGGGTTATCCTTCATTTGGCCTCGATCAAAGGCCTTGCTCAATTTCAACCACCCCCCACTTAAATACGAAAGTTTAAATCTCCCTTTATTTGTACAATCAATAGATCCAAGATATTTAAATCTTGTGACTTGAGCTATCCAACTTTCACATCTAAGCTAAGGGTGCTTTTCCTTTTGCCAAACTTACATTCCTTATGCTCCTTTTCACTTCTACTTAAGCAGAAGCCATATGCTTTCTAAAGCTTATCTCCAAGTCTTTATTAACCTTCAATTTATTTCCTCTCTTAACTCTCCAAGTAGGACTATATCATCTAAAAACATAAGCACATCTTAGTGTTGGCTCTTGAACATGCTTCATAAGAACATCCAAGACTTTAAAAAGATAGGAACTTAATCAATGACAAACAAAATATATAGATAGTATCATAAAATTAAATAGGCAACACAATACTACAATATTTTGTTGATCGCCAAAAATTCTTAAAATTTAAAATACATTAGTGAACATATAAGTTAATCTTAAATAGGCACTAACCATCAGACGATTCAGAGTAAAACTGTTAATGAAGTATGACTAGTAAAAGATATATCATATACCCAATTCTACCTTGAAATATAGAAATTATTTATAGTGAAACATACTTACCTAACCAAAATCCCATAAAATTATGCTAAAAACTAAAGAATTAGAATAGATTACCCAACAAAATAGCAGTTTGGATGCAGATTTTCCCAAAAGAAGATTGATTACATCATCAACATTAGACCTGCCAGAATACACGTACATCAAGGCACGGTAAAAACAAATGTATAAAGCTTAAATTTGGATATGCAAACAATCGATCCCATTATGCATCGTAAACTCCAGTCAAACTAATAAACACAAGCAATAAAATAAAATCAGTCACAGATTAGAAAATACTTGGTTCTAGAAGACCAAACTCCCACATGAAATCTGTCAAAGCAAAACGTCATAAAATCATCACAATAGGGCCTTTTATACACTGCAAAAGGCACAAGTAAAATCTGTCAAATTCAACCAAGGTAGGATATGGATTGTACGATATGAGGAAAATTGATATTTGACCATGTCACCTTTTCTCCTTCTAACCCAAAAATCTGGTTCCGGTTGATAATACCCATTAGGAACATCACTGACACAATCAGCAAGAAGGCCATTCACATCAAGAATGAGAAGCTTCTTTTTTGAGTTTCTGATAATAGTTTTGTCCACTGAGCATTGTGATATCTTTGAATTATCACCATTTACGGTGACTAAGCTTAAATCAGAAATATCAGCTGGACAACTCAGACCATTTCTTGTAACCTCAGCATGATCTTCCTTTCTAGCATTTGTTTCTTCATGTTGTGTAACAGGAATGTCTACAATAGAAGATGCAGTCATAGAACTTTGCTCAGAACTGTTGTCTGCTATCAACTCCATTTCCGATGCTTCAACTTTGATCTGGTCGGTTAAAAGTTCTTTCTCTCTTCCCATTAAGCCAGCTGTCAATGGTCCACCAGAAATTTCATGTGAAACACCATTGTTGTCTGCTATCAACTCCTTTTCCTCCGCTTCAACTTTGATCTGATCGGTTAAACGTTCTTTCTCTCTTTCCATTAAGCCAGCTATCAATGGTCCACCAGAAATTTCATGTGAATCACCATTGTTGTCTGCTATCAACTCCATTTCCTCCGCTTCAACTTTGATCTGATCAGTTAAATGTTCTTTCTCTCTTTCCATTAAGTCAACTGCCAATGGTCCATCAGAAACTTCATGTGAATCATCAGTGTGATGGTCCTGGATAATTGGCTCCTTGTTAGAATCTTCAGCACTTTGGCCTTCCAAGTTTCTCTTACAAGTAACATCGTTTAATTTTTTCCTTGAATAGGTTTTAATGCTCTGAGATTTATTAGACAAATCATAAACTTTCAGATCCTCATCATGATTGTTTACCGGACTTCCATTGTTCACAGAGTCACTTGTTTCCTCGGGGGTGGAACTATTCTCATTTATACTTTGCTCGATGTCCATTTTTACAACTTCTAACACAGACTCTTTAGCAAGTAACTCTGCATCAGCTACAACTGAATTACAGTTGTCTGCTTTGTCTTGGATCTCACTCTCTCCGTTTCCCTTTTCTGCAGCCTGACTGAGAATTTTCTGCTTTTTTTCTTCATTCCCGTGCAAACAAATATCCGCTTCTACAATTAATGCATCAGTAGACACGCATTGAATAGTATTCTCTGGAGTGCCACCACCATTAGCATCACTTTCAACTGCGTTATTTTTAGTCTTCCCCCTTTTTCTCTTTTTCTTTTTCCCTGTCGATGTAACATCTACTTTGCTTTCGGAGCCAGACAAATCCGGCGAAACTGGCGACTCGTGCAAATCATTATCCAAATCCATCACAGATCTTCAGATGGCGTCCTGAACTATAAAACACAACCAAAATCCAAATAAATATCTCCTTTCACAACCAGTTTATTGCCACCTCGATTATTACAATTCAATACTTCAATCAACTACCATATCAAGTCACCAAATAATATTCTAAAATTCACTCCTCATTCCAAAACAAAAACAAAAAAAATTAAGCACGGATCCAAACACAACATCGACACTGACACGTCAACAGCAATAATAATCTAAAAAAATAAATAAATTAAACTTAATCACAAGTGTCAGTGTCATTGTCTGACACAGACACACAGGTGTCAGTGCTACATAGAAACATATTATGCATAAACTGAAATTTGAAAATTCAAATCAACTACCAAAAATAAACCGGAACTCAAAGCAACATATATCACTAAACAAACTCCAAATCACATCAATGTAGAAATTAAGGCTCAGATTCAAAAACAAATTCCATATCCACACAACAAAATCACCAATTAAGTTCTCAGATCTTGAATTTACCAAACAATTGAATGCAATTTCCACAACAATATCAAACAACAGATTAAAAAAAACGGAAAAGTAAAAATTGAAAATGAGATAGAGAAATGGATAGAGAAAGAAGGTACCTGAGTTGAGAAGCGCGCAGCGTGGTGAGAGAAGGAGAGAAAACGATGAAGTTGATTTTACGAAGTTAGCGATTTTTTTTTAAATGGAGCGAGCGAGGGTTTTGTGTTAGAATAGTGTTTAATTTATACTGACCTGAAAGTCACATACGGTGAATGAAAGACGAATAGAATCTTCCAGTTTTCTCGAAACACGTAATTCTTCTAATGTGGCATGTCAATCACCGGATCCTAATCTTCTACGGTTTACAAATCGGGTTCTCTGTTTTTCCTTTTTTTTTCTTTTTTTTTTAATGCGAATAATATGTTGAATGGTTCATTAGTTTGATTCTCTGAATTGTTTTATCATTATTAAATATAGTTTTCATTACTCATTTTATCTATAAAATTATTAATCAAAGAGACATTAAAAGTGTATTTCTCTTCTAATTGATACTATTAATTTATGTATGGGTGAATTATCAAGTTAGAAAAAATTGTGTTAAAAAACTTTTACGATAAAATTGCATCGGAATTTGATTTTATGTGTGCAAATGTTGTTTCAAACATATTCATATTTTTGTTCTCTTTTTCTCTCATGTAACTTTTTTTTACGAAAACTAGGACATTAAATCTGACTCACTTAATCCAAACAAAAGTGTAATCAAACCAAATCGAAAATTATTCAAATAGGTCTAACTCTAATTAATCCTAACAAACAAATAAAATTGCACAAGTTAACCTAACCCTAATTAATTTTTATAAATAAAAATTCAACATGAGCACCACCCAGCAAACTCACATACCGTACAAAACCAAATTGGAAAAAAAGAAGATGAAAAGTAATATTTATCTGAGAATCTCAATTAGAGTTTCAAAAATTAGTGAATAAATTATTGGTCAACACAAAATCGATCTATGTATCATCAACTTCTTACCACAACAACAATAAGCATATAAGCCTTTTTGAGTTTAATAATTTGGGTTCAAAGAATAAGAGTGAACTAGGAAATGATGAGATTTGAAGACAACAACCAATCCTATCGATGCAGAGGAGGAAATTGAAATCAAACAATATGAATTGAATCACCACCACCTTTCATAAAGATCTAAAGCAACACAACAACGTGATTCTTGTTGGACATGTAAGAACACCTACCACCTTACATACGATAGCGATAAGTTAGACTTCTAAGTTCTCTCACGTAACTTTAATATTAAAAAATCATAGTGACAATAGTTCACTTAATTAAAAATTATGATGACTATTTATACTAATTTAACCACTATTTTACAAATAAAAAATGATTTTTTCATTTATATATATCGTTCTCAATTACACGTGGCAAGCCATTTAAGAAGTTTCGTGATATCCCGAAATAAACACATGAAGTTCATAAAATTTCACGAGTCTTTGAATGTTTAGATATATTCTATTTAAATTCATCGGAATTAAGATAAGATGGTACAATTTAAAAGTGGTTAGAATTAAAATTTCATCATATTCTATTTATAGGTGGAATGATGAGTCAGCCCCTACAAACAAAAATCTTTTTTATCCAACACATTTTTTTACTTAAAATTAAATATAAATATTTAATATTTTGACAATAAAAAAACAGATATTTGTTAAGTTAACAAAAATATGTACCGATCACTATTATGAGAAGAAGAAAAATTACTTTTTACTATGGTTATGAAATGCATTTAAGTGCAATTAATTTCATAGATTCCATATAAAATATAAAACAAATTTACTAAATTATCAACTACCTTCATCAAATATTTTTAAAATAAATAGATAGAAGAAATAATAACCTGAAATAAGTTAAAAGTAGTTATTTTTATTTATAATAGTGACTAAAATTTAAAGATAATGACTAAAATAAAGCATTTTTTATTTATAATTGTAATAGAAAAGAGTAAGCTTTTTATGATGTCAGTCATATTTTAAGCATCTTTCTTATATATCGAGAGTGATTAAGATCATTCTTGTAAAACTTCAGCCCCAATTAAGGAGATTGTTTGAAGGATTAGATTTCTGAAAATTTCACTTTATATTTCTATTATTATACTCATATTCTAACAATTTTTTAAATACGTCAATTTTATTCTTTCATGTTTTTAATCAATTTATCATTTTATTTTTTACTATTTACTGAAGATTTCTGAAAAATTACATCTCTACTCAGTCGTTCCAAAAGACTTTGAAAAAGACTTCTGATATGTAACTGAATGAACCGGAACATTGTAATTAAGTCATCTGGTTTTGTATAAAATGACTTTTGCAAGAGTTGACAAAAGAGTTCCGATTTTGAATGGAAAATTACTATACACCGAAACACTTCACAAATGTGTTCCGATTTTTACGTAATACGTACCGAAACACTTTCGTCAAGTCATCTAGATTGATTTTTTTGTTAAACCGAAACAGTTTCCTTAATTTATTCGGAATTCATTTTTTAAATTTTTTTTCTTTTTACAGGCATGCTAATATGCGAAAAAACCAGATATGTGTAGATACATCTGATGTATTCTCAACTGCTCAAAGATTCGATACACGAGAAGAGGTGATAAGATGGATTAAAGAGGTTGGAATCAGAAATAAAGTAATTGTTATTATCACTCATTCAGACACCGAAACAGGCAAGAGGGGAAGAAGTAACAAAGTAATATTTGGTTGTGATAAAGGTGGAAAATTCAAGGATATAGATAGTGAAACACAAAGTGTGACTAAGAAATGTGGATGTCCATTCAAAATCAGGTCAACTCCGGCGAAAGATGGATTTAGATGGAAGGTTGATGTAAAAATATGGAGTTCATAACCATGGTTTACCTAATATATTAGAAGGTCATTCATTTGTTGGTAGGCTGAGCACAGATGAAAAGCAACATGTTGTTGATTTGACAAAGATACATATTCCACTAAGACACGTGTTGCTTTTCTTGCAAGAGCGGGATCTAGAGAATGTCACTCGGATCACACAAATATATAAGCATAAGAGTGTGTTAGAAAAAGAAATAAGAGGTTCTAGAAGTGAGATACAATATTTGCTTAAACTTATAGATGATGTAGGCTATGATTACTGGAGTAGAAAAAGAGATGACTCGGAAGTTGTGAGAGATGTTTTTTAGGCCCATTAAAATTTAATTAAGATGTTGCATATTTTTCCTATTGTGTTAGTTATTGACAACACTTATAAGACAAACAAATATAGACAACATTTATTTGAAATTGTTGACATGACATTGACTGAGTTGACATTTGATGTTGCATTTGCTTATATGGAGTCTGAGCAGGCTGAGAGTTTTTGTTGGGTGTTGGATAAGGTGAAATAATTGTTTATGAAGAAAGATTTGTGTCTACAAGTATTTTTGACGAATAGAGATCTTGCTTTGATGAAAGTAATTGAAGTTGTATTTCCAAGGACGATTAATTTGCTATGTCGATTTCACATTAACAAAAATGTTTGTGCAAAATTCAAGAATGTGTGGTGAATGACATGCAAGATACGATTAACATATTATGGGTGGAAGTTGAATGGGCTAGTGATGAGGTTTAGTATGATCAATGGTTGTAACAACTTGAGCAAACATGTGTTGATTGTAGTGAGTTTATTGATTATGTGAAAGACACATGGTTGACTCCACATAGGAAGATATTTGTTGGAGCATGGATTAATCGTGTGCTTCATTTTGGTAACACCACGAGTAATCGGTATGCACTATTTTTAGTATTTTTACCATTTATTATTCTTTACTATACATTTTTTTATTATGTGTTATTATGTATTAATTTTAGGGTTGAGTCTGCATATTGGAAGTTAAAGCAGATGTTCGGGAATAGTATAAGTGACATGGTTAAATTTTGGGAAGCTATAAATAACAATTTGAAGCTTCAAATAGGCAACATTCGAGCTTCTTTTCAAAATAAAATTATGAAATTGAGCACACACACGTAAGTCCATTTTATGGTAATCTATGTGGTTTTGTATCTCGAGCTACTTTGAGACGCATTGTTGAAGAGTTAATGAGGGTTGATTATGTTGGAACTAACATACAAATATATGCTTGTACTCATAGAACATCTTATGGGTTACCTTTTGCTTGTGAGTTAGGAAGATACACGCTTGGTAGTATACCGATTCCAATAAACAGTGTTCATGTTCAATGGAGGAAACTAAGTATGTGTCATACCCAAATTTTTTGCCTAAGATCCCACATTCATTTTCATTTTCATAAAGCATCAAGGTCACGAGATAAAGTTGGTTTTTAATACGCTCACCTTCGAGCATTGCTTATGCAAAGATTATCAATTGTTGTGAACATTTTATTTTATGCATCACTAACTTTTAATCCCATGCAAAGGTGTATGTTTGTATTTCCTTGATTTCATGTGCAAAGACAGGTCTAAATCAAGAGCGTCAGGTGTTGCGCCTCAATTAGGGTTTTGCATCCCTCAAGTGTTCAAATATGGTGAATCACCAAAAGACTACTTCATCAAAGTTTAGCCTTTAACCAAAATCACAGTCAAGATTTCATCACCACTGGTCCATATGTACATCAAAATATCTGGGAATGCGAGGAAAGATCAAATTTGCAAGTCGATTCAAAACACTTTGACCAAAAGTCAACATTTTCAAGATCAAGTTCAAACGATTGTAACTTCTTCATTATTCAATATTTTTGAGTGGTTCTTTTTGTGTGTGATTCGCCTTGACGTCATCTCCAACTTCTCTTTACAAGTCAAGAGCTAATTATATGCGGAGGATCATCAGAATTTCGAATACTTTAGAGGTCATTTTGCGAGTTTGACCTGATCTCAAAATAGTTGTGCCCAACTTCCATGGATCATAACTTCCTCGACTTTTAATATTTTGAGGCGATTCTTTTTGCATGTTGTCATAATTGATGTCATCTACAAGTGTTCGTCAAGAATCAAAGTCAAGTTGTGCTTAGAAAGACATGGAACTTATTGAAACATTATTGTTCATTATTTTTGATTTAGAATGTTCTTAACTTCTAAATTCAATTCATGTCATAATAGTTTCTTCAAGGCATTATTGATTATGGTGAACTGAAGTACAAGTTACAACTCATTTT